CTTCTGGAAAACCAGACACTGGAAATGACATGGAGTGGAGTTCTCCTCTGATGTATCTGAGGTGCCACGCATCAGCACCATGCCACTAGCAACTGTGGAGGTGGAGGAGGAGGTGGAGGAGGTGGAGGTGGAGGAGGAGGTGGAGGTGGTGGTGGAGGTGAAATTTAGAAGAACAGGGGCTCTCGAAGCTAATACACTTTCTTTCCTTTTTCCCCAGTTACCTGACTGGACCAAGATTGGAGATCTGGTTTCCAAAGATTGTCATCTCTTTGTCAATCTTCAATCAAAAGGCTTAAAAGGAGGAGGTAGAATATTGATTTTTTTCCATGAGGATTTGTCATTTTTAATTGTATGAAGATTGCGCTTTAGAACTGAACTGAAAGTGAACTAGGGCCTTCAAATATTTGGGGAAAGATTCCTTTATCTTTTGATTCTGTTTTGTCCACGCACTTTTCGCAGCCCATCCCCCTCTCGTATAGCATGGAGACGTGATTAGGGGAAAGTGGAGAACAGGATGTATTAGGGAGGGAAGTGACAAATGAATTCGGCAGGAGCTTAAGGAAACAGGGTCCCATTCGGGGGAAGCATGGGCTCGGGCTTTGTGGATAACTGTACCAAAATCATGCAAGTGTGTCTGTAGTGATGATTTTAATTTTTGAAAGCACAGATTTCTTTTTTACTGAAATGCAGATTTATGTTTTTTGAATCTATGTATCAGAGAAATCGCTTCCCTCCCCACCTGTCCTAGAGGGGCCTGCCAGGAATCTCTAGTGAGGCAACTGGACAGGAGTGAACTGGACAGCCAGAGGGAGGGACTGTGCCCCCTGGCGGTCAGAGCGGTCGGCCTGCGTGGTTGAGTCTAAGGAGGAAGGGGGCGAGGGTCCGAGACAAGGCTGAGTACCTCAGAGCATGATGACCCCGCATGCTGGGATTGGGTGTGAAGAGTGTGATAGTCAGTGCTGTTAGGGGGCGAAGATGAGGCTTTCTGCTCCCGGTAACGATGCTCCAAAGGGGCCGTTCGCTGTCCTGTAGGCTCACGGGGAGTCAGCATTGACCTGAGGTCAGTGGTTTGGGTTTGGGTTTAATAAGGGTTTAAGTGTGAGTAGGAAGGGTAGGGCTGAGTACTGAGGGCAGGATAATGAGCCTCGTGGACTATAGATGGTTCTCTATCAGCAGGGCTGTTGTGTGCCGAGTCGATTTGAACACATGGTGACTCCGTAGGCCAGAGTAGACCTGTCCCATAGCCTGTTCTAGGCTGTTCTTGTTCCAGAAGCAGATGGCTAGCAACATTCTGCTGCAGAGCCACTGGGGGCCGGGGTGGGGACATGGGTGGTAGGTTTGAAAGCCTGACCTTTTAGCTGGCAGCTGAGCCCTTATCCACTGTGCCACTAGGGCTCCTATTTTATCAGCAGGGGCGCCCACGCGATGCCAAATATTGCAGCAATGCCCTCTTTCCCTACCATGCTCTGAGTTTTGCATGAACAGTCTTTATGAATTTTATTCGGCTTCCCATGAACAATCTTAGGGTTTAGTAAAGTTGCCTTCACTTTTCTTCATCGGGTAAAAATTCAGAAAGGGCGCCACAGGGAGCCGTATGGAGCGGCCACAAGTGTGATTATGCCTACGCTGGGGAGCTGGTGCCTGGGGAGGGATGGGCTCTGGGGCTTGTCCCCACGTCTTCTTAACTGTGTGCTCTGTTTCAGGTCGGTTTGGCCAGACAACGCCGCCACTCGTTGATTTTCTCAAGGATATCTTAAGGCGATACCCAGAAGGAGGGCAGATTCTTAAGGTCGGGCGTATGTGTATTCCCGTGTACGTCTGCTTTCTTAAAAAAGAGCAAGACGTCGTCTTGTCTCTTTAGAAGTCTGTGCAGTGTTTTAAGCGTTCACACTTTCAGCTGGTTTTGAGCAACCGCATGTATGTATGTGCAGAGGCAGGCAGCGGACATGTGCGCAGGACCTGGGGCCCAGGGAAGTGCTGAGCTCCACAGGGAGAGTGTCCCCAGGGACAGCTTGTGGGAAACATTTTTCAGAGGACTGGTGGCTTAGGGGGGCTACGCCCTGAGCTGCTAACCATGAGGTCTTCGGTTTGAACTCACCAGCCGCTGCCGACTCCTATGAAGATTCAAAGTCTCAGACACCCAGAGGGGCAGCTCCACCCTCTCAAGTAGGGTTCCTATGACTCGATGGCACAGGATTGGGCAGAGTTTTGTTTTGCCGTGCACGGGGTCCCTATGGGTTAGAACCGACTCAATGACACTTAACAACAACAATAACAACAACAACGGCAGCGAGTTTGGGGGGTTAGACCTGGGACTGCTGGTTGCACGGCTTACTGATTTCAACCCCCCAGCTGGTCCGCCGGAGCAAGGCGAGGCTGCCCACCCCATAAAGATCCCCGGCCTCAAAGGCCCCACGGAGTAGCTCTCCTCCTCCCTATAGGGCCTTTAGGGTTGGACTGGACTCCGTAGCACTGCGTTCAAAGACCAGCCACACCCACAAAGAAACCCAGCCGGAGAAATCCCACTTCCAGAGGCCTCTTTGATTCCCTGGGTTTGGGAGGTTTGTTGAATTTGAGAGGGATTATTAATAGGATGATTATTTTAATTGTTGATTTTATTTCGTATTATATATTCTTTTAGTCTGACTAGACTCATTATCCTAAAAAACAAAACAAAACAAAACAAAAACACAACACACACAAAACCACCCAACGAAGGCGAAAAGTGGAGCAAGCTTGAAAGCGAGCAACGACGGAAGACAGTGCAGTGGATTGGATTTTGTAGCTCAGCCTCGCGAGGCGCCTCCTTAATTACGTGTGAAGTTAGGGCAGTGCTGGCTGCACGCTCCTTCTCAATGGCTTCCTTCCTGTTGACGTGCCTCCAGTGCTTTATCCCTCAGCCCGCTTTCTGGCTCCCAGGGTTTGCTTGTTGCAGCTCTGGTGGCTTAGCGCATGTGAATTGGGCTGTGATCCCCAAGGTCGGCAGTTTGAAACCACCAGCCACTCTGAGGCTCTCTACTCCCTCAAAGAGTTACAATCTTGGACCCTCACAGGGCCAGTACTACCCCGTCCTGTAGCGTCCCCATGAGTGGAAGTGAGCATATGTAAGTTTTCATAGAGCGAGGCTTGGGGCTGCTTAAAGAACCCTGGAAGAAGGAAGAATGACGTCAGCCGTTGTTTCCTGCATGATGTCACTGTTTTCATGCAATGGCTATGCTACTACATAGAGTATGTTTTTCTTTGTGTTTTTTTTTCTTTTTAAAAAAATCGTTTTATCTCTCTAGAGAACCCTGTCTAACACAGGGCCTTTGTGTTATATTCTACAAATAAGAGAGAGAGAGAGAGAGAGAGAGAGAATAAATTTAAGGTTAAGAAAGAGAGTGAGACAAAGAAGGGTCGCAGCCTAAAACCCCATCCAGATTCCTTACCCGTCAGACCTAAACACCGGTCTGAGTGGTTGCAAAAGAAGAACGAGTTCAACAGAAACTGACTCACATTCTTTTGTGGCACACCAGCGAGGGTTTCATTCAAACAAACGAAAAATAGAGGAGCCTGCTGGTTAGTTGATGCATTGGGTTGCTAACCACAAGGTTAGTGGTTCAAATCCACTAGTGGTTCTGTGGGAGAGAGAGGAGGCTGCTCATCCCCTCAGAACTCTGGTCTTGGAAACCCTGGGGAGTAGATGGGTCCATAAGGTCTCCAGCCTGGCTGGGACAGGCACCGATTGAGGGTTGCTGCGCCCTCTAGGGTTGGAATGGTGGCGACGCACTGGAGTCAGATCAGTCGGTCCTTTGAGAACAGGCGCAGGTTGTTCTCAAAGGAAATTTGAGGAAGTTAATTTGAAAACGATTTTTATGTTGACTTTGGAGCCCTGGTGGCGCAGTGGCGATGCGTTGGGCTGCGATCCGCGTGGTCTGCAGCAGCAACGCAGGAGAAAGACTGGCTTTCTACTCCCACCAGTAATTCGAGTCTTAGAGTCTCAGAAACCCACCGGAGGCCTGCTCTGAGTCTGCTTTGGGGCTGTCTTAGGAAAGTGGAGATGGAGGAGTGCGGGCATTCGGATGGGCTGGGTCAAGGGAGGTGAGCAGAATGCAGTGGGAATGGACACTCAGTGGGCGAGACAGGGGGTGTGGGGGCCTGTCAGGTCAGAAGGGAGCGCTCAGAGTTCCCTGAAACGCTCGCCCCAAACTGATGACCCGCTCGGCCCCTTTGCTGGTTGCCCACGTTTGTTTCATGACTGGCTCCCTTTAACCACTGTTCCCTGTGCATTCCAGCGACATTCTCTCGTTGGGGACATAGTAGGAATCTTAGAAGTCAGTTAGACCTAGGCCATCACCTTTCGTGGCCCAGTGCAAATACAATGGCTGATTTTTAAGGATCTTGATAGGTTAGAACGGGCTTCTGAAAATCTTTCAGAAACAGACAGACATGTAATTAGGAAAGACAGGGCTACTGAGAAGGTAGTGGAAGGGTGAGGTCCGAAATCTGATGTCCATTCTGGTAAAGCAGTTGGCGGGATAAAGACTCCCCGGCCCGCCATTGACTCGGCGGCAGTGAGTTTGCCTTTGGTTTTTACGTTAGGAATCCACTGGCTGAACTGAAAGCTGTACTTGATCTCAAAGCAGCTCTTTGTTCCTGTACTGTCCCCTCAGTCATTGCCTCTCAGCAACGCTGGGTCACCTGTGCACGCTGGTCAGGGCTCTAATGTTGCCCTTCACTAGTGTCAGTGTGAGCTCTCCAGTGCTTGCTCACCTCCACAGAGGATTACATGTTGGGCTGCTGTCCGCAAGGTCGGCAGTTTGAACCCACCAGCAACTCCTTGGGAGAAGGATGAGGCTGTTTGCTTCAGTAAAGATTTTATAGCCTCAGAAATCTCAAGTGGCTGTTCTACCCCGTCTGGTAGGGCTGTGAGGAGTCAGCATTGACTTGATGGCAGTGGGTGGACCACCCTTAACTTGGGCTTTGTTCTCTCCCAAGGTTAGAGGTTTATGAGGTAAATGCTGTAGGGTCAACCTACTGAATTTCTAAAGACACTTTTGTTTAAAACATGGCCCTTGGGTTTTCGTTTGTTCTAAGTTGGAGCTCACCCGGGAAGTTATTATCTGTTCACTTTTACTTAGGTAGGTCTAGGAACACTACATGAGATCTCTGAAACTTATTTCAAGTTTTATTATTATTTTTGATGACAGTTTTTTATATATAATTCATATATCATATAGTTGGGTTTTTAACTCTTTTAACAAAGAGTTGTGTAATCATTACCACAATCAACTTTAGAAAATATTTTTCTTTCTTATACTCATTGCTATTAGCTTCTCATTCTCCTTACACCCTAATCTCCCCTGCTGTAACCTTAAGAAACTGAACCCAGCTACTGTCATTATAGATCTATCCTGGACTTCAAATACAGAAAAACGTACAAAACAAAAAGCAAAACAAAACCAAAACAAAAAATGATAACAAAATAAAAACCTCAAATAGAAAAGAAATCAGAAAACATTAAAAACCAGAACAAATTTGAAAGGGCTCAAAAGGGTGCTCAAATCATAAGGTGCTAAATTTTAACCTAACTATACAGTAATACACTTTCCAATGTACTACGTCTGTTAGCAAGGCTATTCGCATCCCTGGTCAATGGTCAGAGGGGATTCACCAGAGGCTTGATCCTGGTGGGGACCCTGCAAATGGATTTGGGGCTTCCACTGCCATCTACAGCCATCTGCAAACTCAGGATTGAGGCTCTACTACCAATCCCTCCTTTGGTCTTAGATGTTATCATAAGTATAGGGTTAACGGTAGGGATTTGCTCTGTCTTCAGAGCCTAGTTGTTGTGGGTGTTCTGACGTGCCATCGACTCAGTTCTGACCCGTAGTGACCCTCTGCACAGCGAAACACCGCTGGCCCTGCACCACCCTCACAATCGTTCCTTTGCTCCAGCCATTGCTGCAGCCACCCTGTCAGTCCTTCTCGTTGAGGACCCTCCTCTTCTACGCCCCTCTGCTTTACCAAACACGCTGTCCTTCTCCAGGGGTGGATCCTCTTGTCCCAGGAGAAGTAAGTTTGCTTAGCTGACGGGCAACCAAGGCCAGGTTGTGATGAGCGCTCACCATTGGGGTACCTGTCACGTGTGCTAAAAGGCTGACATGACAGAACAGTACTTGTCATGGTGGAAGTGGAGTGATTCCTATTGAACAAAGGCTTTGCAAACAGAGATTAAAGCCCCAAGGCCATTACTGTGGAGGGTTCTGGCTCACAGTGGTCCTGCGGATCAGTGCAGACCGGCCCCTGGAGGTTTCTGAGATGGTAAACTTTTACAGGAGCCGATTGCCACACTATTCTCTCCCGTTGCTGCTGGTGGGCTTGGACTGCCGACCCTGTGCTTAGCAGCCCAGCACTTAACCCCGAGTGCACCGGGGCTCCTCCACAGAGAACACGCCAGCTAAAACCCAAAGGAGAATTTCCTCTAAATGGAGCTGGCGAAGAACACATTCTCTGTTCAGCCTTCCACGCGTATGTGTGAGGGGCTTCAAAAAGCTTGTGGAAAGAAGGCATTCAAGGACAGGGCAGTTCTTCCACCGACTTCCTGAAGCCCCTTCATATGTGCTCACCCTGAGGCGACGGAACAGTAGGTTTCCTTTGTGAGGGATCTTTATTTAAACATCATGTCAGTAAAGACAACGCCGGACAGTAGATGACCCTCTTGTTAACCATCTCTGTTGTTTGGTGTGTGTTTGTACTTAGGAATTGATTCAGAATGCAGAAGATGCTGGGGCCACAGAAGTTAAGTTTTTGTACGATGAGACACAGTATGGCACGGAGACGCTGTGGTCGGAAGACATGGTGCAGTACCAGGGTGAGAGCAGCCCAGAACTAGGAGCACGGTTTGCTTTCTGACGAGCACGACCTTTCGTGCTTTAGACTATGCTGGGACAGGACAGTCCACCCGGGTTCGTGGCTCGCTGCCTATCTGCTCAGCTTCATTGTTCAGGTGTTTCTCTTAGCTTTTGATGGTGAAGGCTATTGGTAATTTTAGAAGACAGAGAATAAAAGTTCAAAACACAATAACAAGCAATGTAGCTGTGTGATGCGTCCTGATAGGGATTTAAAGTTTTGTGGAAAAAATGCCATTATCTGTTAATCCAATTTCTCCATGAACTTTCTGAAGCTCCCACGGTGGTGTACAGAACACATCTGCCAAGTCAGCAGCTTTACAGGACCATTCCCCATCATGGTTACCCACTGGGCTGTGACCCTCAAGGTCACCAGGTCAAAGCTACCAGCCACTCCTCTGGAGAGAGATGGAGTTTTCTCCTCCCATAAAGAATTATAGCCTCAGAAAGCCACAGGGACAGTTCTGCCCTGTCCTAGACGGTCACTAGGAGTTGGCATTAAGGCGATGGCAGTGAGTTCTTGTGAATGAGATCCTACCAGTCAAGATGAGCATCGTCTGCCCATCCCAGATACTGTCGGTAGCCCTGTCAGAACATTTGGAAAGTCATCAGAGGCTGGGCTGGTTAAGGTGGGAAGAAAGACTGGCGGAGAGGGGGGAACAGAGAAAAACAGGACATCAATGAGAGCCCTCCCTTACTAGGGGTCCCTAATCTCCAGCTTCTCTCACTAGCCCCCTTAGTGGAGACCAGGGAGGCCGACCGACATAGCCACTGCAGTGGGCTCTGTTGGACCCCAGATCCTGAGATGGCACGACACAGGCCAGGCTTCTCTCATGGCCCCTGCGGTCACCAGGAGCCGGAGCCCCCTCAGCCACATTGTCTAAGGCCGTGAATACTCCGCCCTGGTTTTGTGTTTTCATTTTTATTGGGAACCCCACTCACACCACACCCTTGTCTTCATCCTCCCGGCCGAATCTCGGTGGAGCAGAAGCCTCAGGCCTCCTTGGTTCTGAGCACACCCGCCTGTGCTTTCGCCTTCCACAGGCTCCGCCTTGTATGCTTACAACAATGCCACCTTCACCCCCGAGGACTGGGACGGCATCCAAGAAATAGCCAGGAGCCGGAAAAAGGATGATCCTTTGAAGGTCGGAAGATTTGGAATTGGCTTTAATTCTGTCTACCACATAACAGGTACAGTGCTGTGCTTTTCCGCTTTGCTAGTGAAATGGCATTTCTCTGGTGAACTTCAGAGGGGATGCGATCTTAAAGGCACCGCCCCCAGCTTCTTCTCTCAGCGGCAAGGAGGATGCCCGAGACTTAGTGTGTCTGGGGTTTTCTGAAATCACTGCAGCACCCCATCACGTAGGGCTGAGTGAAGGTCATCACGACCCAGCCAATTGGTGCCGGCTAGTAAGTCATGTTCTGCTAGGTTTAAAACATCATCTTTGGAAATGCCTCGTGAAGAAGCTGGTTTCTCTAAATAAACCTCTCACACGCTTCAGGCAAACTCGTTTCTGAAGATCATCTTGGAGGTATTTTTATGATAATTGGGGTGGGGTGGGTGAAAGGGAACATCAAGACATCAGTAACTGACAGAGACAAGATTTCTGATGCATCTCTGGGTCCCTTCGCTAGTTCTGTCTCTGAAAATCCTGCTCGTAGAATGCGGAGTGTGTTCAAGATGACTGTGGTGGACACTGGTCATCGGAAACTGTGCCCAGTGAAGCCGTCTGTAAGAGGACACGGTTGTTTTTGCACACTCCACACTCTTCGTCCTTATTATGTAGTTCTTTACAGAGACGCTTTCTTTCGTGGAGTTAAATGGCCCTTGTTATGGTTTACGGTTCTAACTCAGGTGACCCTATAATTCATCACCCGAACGGAGACCCTCCTGGGAGTGAATGCGGGCTGCAGGAATAACACGTAGGCACACGCCGCATCTGGCTTGAGGCCAAGGGATGGATGTAGGGTCACCCTGGCTGAGCCGCCCTTTGAGCAAGCCTGCTGCGTTTCCAGGCTGGGGCCCTTCTTTTGGACTTTCGGGGTAGCTCTGCTTCTGTATTTATTACTTCAAAGAGACTAGCGTTGCTTCCTCCCCTGGGCAGTTGATGTGATTTAGCGGAGCCCTGGTGGTGTCGTGCTTACGTTTGGGGCTGTTAACTGCAAGGTCAGCAGTTTGAAACCACCAGTTGCTCCTTCAGAGAAAGATGGGGACTTTTTACTCCCCTGAACAGTTACAGCCTCGGAACTCTCCAGGGCCTGTTCTACCCTGTCTTACAGGGTCAGTATGAGGGGCCAGCAATGGGGATTTCGGCCCCCCCCCCCAGCCCCCACGGCTTTGAAGGGACTGAGGGTGTTTGAAGACAGCCTGGACGCTGCGTCTCCAGGAGGAAGTCAGAGGGGAGACTCACCTGCACCTCATTCCACACCCATAGCGTAGACGTAAACATGACAGTGAACACGGCGGCAGGTATTGTTTTCTCAAATTTTAGAGCAGCTTCCCTTAGCAGGTTTGACTCCAGGGGGACTATGTTACATTAACTTCAGGGGTTTCTGCCCAAAGTCATTCGTACTTCTAGTGGTCAGAGTTCTATTTCCAGAGTTAAAGGGTGTTTTCAGAAAAAGTCTGTGTGCCTGTCATCTGAGGATCACACCGCATTTTGATGTCAGTGAGCATTATTGATCCCCCAGTTGACCCTGGAACAGCCTGGGTTTGTCAACTGGCCGGGGGTCCACAGGGTGGGGGTGAGGCTGCTTTTCTTTTTCTCACAGCTCCTGCCTTCAGCTCCAGTGGGG